GACCAACAAGAAGGGAGACAAAAGGAAACAGAAGGGAGACAAGACGGACACAGTGACCAACAAAAAGGGGACAAGGCTAGAGACAACAAGAAACAGAAGGAAGACAAACACAATGACCAACAAGGAGGGAGACAAAAGGAAACAGAAGGGAGACAAGACCGGAGGCAAAAGGGAGACATGCGGACACAATGAAGGGAGACAAGAAGGCAGACGGACACAATGACCAACAAAAAGGGAAACAAGAAGGGAGACAAGACCGGAGACAAAGGGAGGCAGAAGGGACGCGGCGGACACAATGACCAACAAGAGGGAGACAAAAAGGAGACAAGACAAAAAGATAACAGAAGGGAGACAAGACGGACATAATGACGAACAAGAAGGGAGACAAGACGGACACAATGGCCCACAAGAAGGGAGACAAGACCAGAGACAAAGAAAGAATGAAGGGAGACAAGGCGGACACAGTGACCAACAAGAAGGGAGACAAAAGGAAACAGAAGGGAGACCAGGCGGACACAGTGAGGACACGGTGACCAACAAGAAGGGAGACCAAGGGAGACAAGCCGGACGGAAGCGGACAAGCTGTCCGGCAGCAAGGCGGACACTCTTAGAAAGCATTTAGAACCCCTAACAGTAGCCTGTTTGGGGAAGTACAGAAATCACCTGGGAGACAAATGAAAAGAAATGCTGGAAAGGGGGAAAGGGCGGATGCCAGCAGTGCAGGCACCGAACCTGGAAAACAAAAGTAAACAAACCACATGGGAAACTAATTAATAGAAATGCTGCATGGCCAGTGGAAAAGGGCGGACACCAGCAGTGCAGGCACCGAACCTGGGAGACAAAAGTAAAGAAAGCATTTTAAAGACAAACGAATTGAATGCCGCATGGCCAGCAGAAATGGGCGGACACCAGCAGTGACAGAAAGGGCGGACACATCTTAAGAAAGAAGTGAGAAACCCTACGTAACGGCAAACTGCTTGGGGAATGAATGGAAATGTCGCATCGCCAGCGGGAAAGGGCGGACACCAGCAGTGACACATCTCGGAGACAAATGAACAGAAATGCTACATGGCCAATGGAAAAGGGCGGACACCAGCAGGGACAGACCTGGGAGACAAATCAATAGAGATGCTACATGGGCCAGCGGAAAAGGGCGGACGCCAGCAGTGACAGACCTGGGAGACAGATGAATAGGACACCAAACAGTAAACTGCTTGGGGAATGAATAGAAATGCTGCATGGCGGACACAAGCAGCGACAGACCTGGGATACAAATGAATAGAAATGCGACATGGCCAGCGGGAAAGGGCGGACACCAGCAGTGACACAAAGGGCGGACACATCTTAAGAAAGAATTGAGAACCCCTAACAGTAAACTGTTTGGGAAAGAGTAACGTGGTTTGACAACAGAACAGCTTGACTGTTCCACGTTGCATTTGGCTGTGCCAACATTCACCTGCAAACACAGCAGGCTTGCTTGCTGTTCCGCTATGTCAAACACAGCAGTCACCCGACCGTTCGTTTGACAGTCGCGCACTCTTGCATTGCCGTCGTCGCGAGGTGTTCACATATCCACAGGGTGGCATTTGGGTGGCTATTCCACCCAAGCGCCTTGACTGCGCCCTTCGCCGGCCATTCGTTACGTCTTGGCTTGCTTTGTGAAGACATGCAGAAGTTGATGAAACGTGAGAAAGGGACAGGAAGATAGTCTTCTACCAGGGGTGCTCTAAGACTCTAAGTTGCTACCTCTAAGACTACACTTTGGCTCTTGAGGGTCATGGCGTTGTGGGTCAAACGACCAAAGGACCCATCCTTTCGTGCTATGGAACAGCCGAGAGGCGCAGGTGCAGGTGCTTACAACAGACCGACAAGTCTGGTTCGGGGGTTCGGATTTGGAAGAAGACGCTCTCTGAATGGCTGAAATATGCTGAAATAGATATATAGGTATAAGCATATCATAAACATACAATGGGATAGGGAACACAGAGGTATATGTTCAAAGAGGGACCTGGTGTCCACGATGTAAAACGAAGTCCAATGGCTCCGCGTGTTTGCCCCGCACCCTGCTGTTGAGATAGGACTGCAAACGCAAGCAGCAGTTCGAGAATGAAATTGGGAAGCACCCTGAACTCGCATTCGAACATGCTCCTCTTCGCCTAAGGACGGGGGCTGCCTTGTTGTTCTTCCATGGCCAGAATGCAGTGAACAACCCCATGCACTATGGTGCCTGCGACGGCACGGACGCCGCTACCTGGGTTTGATACGGTTGATACGTTGGTGAGCTGCCTCCAGGGCCAGGTGTCACCTTGCAAAAAAGATACGAAGGTGACAAACCTGAGGAGCAACATTGGTTGAGTATCCAAAGAGAATGCGACTCCATGCAGAAAACCTTCTGGAGTAAGGATGGATAAGGGAGGACCTTCATGGGCACAAGATGTGTCATGAAGATTATGGGCGAAATATGGTGTTTATTGGTGTTTATATATTTGATTACTGGTTACTTCTTTCATCGACGGCATATCATCACCTTTTGTGGCTTTCTCCCTCTCTCTAAGAACCACTCGCGTGACCCCTTTTTCGATGGCTCAGGAGGCGATGTGAAATCTGGGGTGAAGTACTTGGTCGCTTGGACCTCGAGTATCGCGTACTCGGGCACCAGATGGCATCAAAGGTGAGAGAATCCACCATCCACCATCCACCAACATTTGTGATGTTCGGACAAATAGGGCAGAGCAAAAGACCAAACCCGGTGATACCCATCCTTTTTTCCCACCCCCACATAGACATAGCTAGGGCAGATTTCTATCTGAGGGTGGTGGGGAGAGGGAGGGGGAGGGAGAGGGAGAGGGAGAGGAGAGAGAGAGAGAGAGAAAGAAAAAAGAAAGAAAGAAACAGACAGGCAGACAGTCCCACTTTTTGAGCCACAAGCGTAACGGTGTGGTCGAATGCTTGCACTCAGGTGCGCTCCGACATTATCTACAAACCCTAGAGCTGCCAACCAATGTCATAGGTTGGCGTGAAGCTTCCGACTAGCTCACTCGAGAAACTCGAGATGACAGGGAAGTTGCACTTGTGGACAAGATTTGACAAGAAACACCCATATCACCGTAGGAATCATGCCAGATTGTGTTTGATTTGCGTGACTCTTTGGTTTGTGTTAGAAGTATCACACTGTCCATGTGCACACACCTCCCAGCAGCTGTGCGGGCATGGGCAGCACAGATCTTGGAGCCAGGTCGAGGAACCAATCTTCTCAACCCTTTGCAGGAAGTTGCTGCATACAAAAACAACAAAACTGTAGGAACCCATTGGAGGAAGCCATGGCTTTACCATGCTTTACTACCTCCCGCGCTCGAAATCCACGAGTGAAATGTGGAAAGAGCCTGTTGCCCCACCACAGATGAGGAAACACTAAGATGCATCAAAAAGACATGCAAGGCTCAAAAGTCTGACAACAAAAGCTTCCATGACTCCAATGTACGGCCAGCCCCAGCGGAAAAGATCTTGGCCAAAGTAACTCGGGTTTCATCCGTATGGTAAGGGATGGATCCTTGAATACATCCTTGAGGCATCACACGCCCGCATGAGCGAGGAAATGTCGAGTTGAACTGGCCTGGAAATGGATCCGCTTGGTCACTTTTGAATAGTGCAAGAAGACACGCTCGTAACGGCTTATAGATGTCATAAAACGTCAGAAGTTGTTGGTCACCGTCAAGGCGGAAACCTTCACAGTGAAAACAAACCGTGAGCTCAGAGAATGAAAAACTCTGATGGACATCTGGAAGCCACTTCAACGAGCGGAAGAAGGCACACAGAGTGTGCCAATCCCGCTCTGGTCGTGTCCACCGTGCAGGGCAGGGAAAATGCACTGGAACCTTGGGTTTCCATGTAAAGAGGGAAGGCCGGAGACCCCACATCCACTGCGGGAATCGTGCTTTGCATTGATCTGGCGCGATGTCGACATTATTCTCAGAACGTGGTTCATCGCCAACATTGTCATCAGGAGCACGTGTAGGAAGGAGCTTGTGGAGGGCGATCAACCAACTATGGTGCTGGCAAAAAACCCCTGTCAGCTTGCTGTTGTATAGCGCAATCAACTGGCGCAAGTTTATATGCCAACTCTTTGGTAGTACCTGCACTGGCTGCCAAATCTTCTGTAATGAGTTGGTCCGGCACCCGCTCCAGCTTGCGGGCGGGAACCCACTGGATCATGAAGGGATGCTCTGACACATCTTTTCTGTACTGGTGTAGGTCCCTGAGGGCACGCCACCATGGGAGACACACAACCGGTCGCAAATACTTCACTGCACTGTTGTACAACCGTAATGGAATCGGAAGAGATGATGGTGGGACTGATGGCCTTCATGCACGCCACTACCACAGCCCACAACTCTGCTGTGTAGGATGCAAGATTCCAATGGTTCACCTGTCCTTTGGAAATTATCGAAGGTCCTCGGCGAGGACAGCGTATGTGGCTGCGGTAAGCCAGAATTTGGTAGGGAATAATACAGAGCCATCTGTCCACACCTTACGAAGTGGCCCCGGATTGAAGTCTGCTGCACACGTAATAACACTGGTGTCAAAGGATAAAAACCTTTTCCTGCCAATAAAATAAGGGTGCTGCACATGGCCTAACATCAGAAAATTGGGGCCGAACTCGTGCGAAGTGGGAGGCCCAATAAGTTGGTGAAGAGCCGTACATTCAATTAAATGAGGCATTGATTCCTTGGTCTCATTGCAGAATCTGCACAATGCTGACTCTGTCCATCCTGAGCTGGCCAAGCGATCGTTGGTAAGAGTACAACCGATCACAACGGGTTCAAATCTGGAAGAATCTGAAATCACTCCTGGGGTTGTTTCTGACTTCCTGTGCAGAGAGAGTGTGCTTTGAGTGAAGTCAAAAATGCCACATGGTTTACAGAAGTCTTTTCTACCACACTATGAGGGGTCGAGACATAACACGCATGTCGTGTGATGTGCCTTGCAGCTTGACATCTGGTGGGCGATCCTTCGAAACTGAGGCCTAGGTTTGTGTCAATTTGTAATCCCAGAGTGTTGGCAGCGCTTGTGAAGAGACACAGCCAAAGCATGTTTGGTATTGTTGTTGGCATTGAGTGTGCGCTTGAGTTTGGGAATGGTTTCAGGCGCAGTGCAACACAAACGAATGATCTCAAAAACAGTGTTGTAAGCAGTGGCAAACAATGGGTCGGTTCGAAATGGCTGAGCAAGGATGGCCTGCAAAAGTGTCCGCGACCGCCATTTTGGCGGTCCAACCCATAAAGCACGTGCTATAGCGCTCTGGATGGCTGTGATATCCTTCTTCGGGATCTTAGAAATATGGCAACCAAATGAGAGTTGTGGGATGACCTTGGCTCCAATAAGATGAACACGTGTCTTGTGCGGGATGGGGAGAACAGCAATGTTGTCAATATCCCCCAGGACACGCTTCAACGTGGATTGGGGAAAGCCAAATGAGTCTCGTTCGGAGCAATACATACGTGCACCAAGAACAAAAATTTCATGCTCAACAGGAAAGTCAGGGAACTCTTCACGAAGAGTAGCTCTCGCTTGGCTAGTCGTCCCCCACATGGAAGATTTGTGGGGATTAAGTTTCTGTCCTGCCAGACTATCCCAAAGATTAGTCACATCGATGGTTTTCTGAAGTAAGGCGCTGTGGTGAAGGTGGCACCACATATACGCGTCATCAATGAAAGCTCTAGCTGAGATCTGGGGGATGTGTTCAAGAAGGTGGAACCATACCTTGTTGTAGACGTTCATAGCCAACAACGAAAAGGAGCAACCTTGCGCCACCCCGTTTGTCGGCGAGGTAGGGGTGGGGGAGCACCAATTACGGTAAGCAAGATGACGATGAAGGTTTTTTGTAAATCTTCAAGAAGACATTCACAATTGTCTTAGGACTACCGAAGGCCAGAAACAATGCTGCTGCATACGAAGGAATGATTTTGTTGAATGCTTTTGCTTTGTCTAATTTCAGGCCGATTAATGGAATACCATCAAGTTTGGCGCAATCGATCTCAAGTCGAAGTTCATTATATAGGGTGGACATGTGCCTATGTCGAATGCCACCACCAAGGATACTAGGTGGCATCACTGCAGCTTGCCATTTTTGAAGCTGGGAAAACCGAGCTCCCGTGTAGGCGAGCAACAGTGCTGGTAAAACAGTGATCAGGCGTTTGTTGAGTGGTGTCGCCGTTCCGGGTTTGTTCAAGATCATCTGTTTCGCACAAACCAAAGTATCAGGGATGGCATCAGAGGAGATTTCCAGGTCGGCAAAGAATTTGGCTACGGGTGCAAGTTCTTGGTGCGGCATCGACTCGACGTTTTTGCAACGTCAAGAACAAAGCTTCACCGGTAATGGGAGGGATATCAGCATCAACCTGAGAGTGTTGAGCGTATGGCCATACAGTGTCCAACATGCGAAGAGGGTGTTCACAAAGTGTGTTGGCCGAAAGAATATCATCCCATGTGCCATTAAGGACACGCAAAGCTTGCTCAGGGTTGTATACGATATTCTGTGCTTTGTCAAGAACAAGATTCGAAGGTTCGTCCTGCTGTTTATTTTTAAGGTGTTGAAAAATAAACTTGCAGCCCGAAGTGGCAGAATGCTGGATCTTGGCTTTCCATCGCTTAATGCGTTGAACACGAACTTCCGCATCATGTGTTCCAAGCGCTTTCGACGCCCATTGTCGAACAAGGTATACCTCAGTGAGTGAGGGCCGGGAAGGATGGCACCAACCGACAGGTGCAGAGAGTTCAGCAAGGGAACTCCAAGCTTTGCGGGCAGTTTGCTGGGTGATGTAAACATCTTGAGGGTTACCTTGATTTCTGGAGAGACGAGTATACAATTCATTCAATCGTGAGATAAGCTTGGAGAGCTTCAACCCTCGGGTAGTAGCTGCTGAGTGTGAGGCAAGTTGTTTAGGGGCAATAGTTTTGGCGATGAATCTCGGTTTGCAGGCTCGTTCTCTTGGGCCTGTGCCCCAACTTGCACCACGATCCAAAACACTCTGCTGAAGAAATGAATTGACAATCTGCCATTTCGTGTCGAGGGAGTCGGCATCATTATTTACACACTCATAAGCTGAGAACCACTGAGTGGTGGCGTGGTTTACATCAACAGGTGGAGATACTTTGTCAAGCACAAGTGGGGCTGTCTTGTAGAGGACATAACCTTTTTGCTCGGTCGATGGGCAAGAAAATTTGACCTGGATCGGCCGATGCTGCCTACCGAAATGCTCAGCAAATGCAATGCTGTTTAGTAAAATGCCATCTATTGAAGAACAGCCATCCTGGCTACTTGCAAAAGTTCCGTCCTGACTAAAAGTGATAAGTCGGACCAAGGCACCATCGTTGTCAGTGGTGGAGATGGGATCAGCTCATGAGTGAAAGGCAAGGACAGTGGCGATGGATTTGTAACTGTTCGGGGCAAGAATGATCGGAATTTGGCCGAATTGAGTGACAAACGTGAGTATCTTGTCAAACAATGCATCGTTCTCTTCATGGATTCTGGCGTCACACGACGCTCCTGTTTGAGCATGAATGGACATGACAAGCGCAGATTTCTTGAGAGTGACCTGCACCCAAGCTGCTGCGAAACGTCTGGTGGCAAACAATTGTGCAAACAGGCCCGTATGATCTTCCTGTGGGTCGAAAGGTCGAATGTACGCTGATCCTCCGATGACAGCGGACCCACCGCATGGAGTCTTGGTGGACCCTGTTGCATGCCGAAGACCTGGGAGGGGATCACTCAGGCATGGTGTCGCATTCAAAGGTCTTCTTAGCATGTTTGATATTGTTGCGACCGATGCGAGTCTCTTGAAGGCAAATGATATCAGCTTCCCATGTCTTCCACATGGGATTTGTTTGTAAAGAGCCTATGTTACTTGAAGTGCAGGTCATGTTTTGGATGGGAGGTCCTTCCCCTGGAAAGCCTAAAGTGGCATCGAAGTCAAGAAAAACAAAAACATGTCGAGTTTCGGCAAAATGCCGTTCGAGTTGACCGCTTGTTTTGAGCACATCAAAATCTGCCTATTGGGACGGCCAACATGCAGTCAGAGGTTCGAGCCT